CCAGTCCCTGGAGAAGGATATCATGTTAGGTAAAGTGGAGGGTCAGAGAAAAAAAGGAAGACCCCCAATGAGATGGATTGGCACAGTGGTATCAGCAATGGGCTCAAATGTAGCAACAACTGTGAGTTTGGCGCAGTTTGGCAGTGTTTCAATCTGTTTTACATAGGGTCATTGTGAGTTGGTACCGACTTGACAGCACCTAACAACAACATAGCATCCCTCAGAGGGGTTTGGAACCTGTTATCAAATCCATTAGTATTTGTGTAGTGAAACATATGAATAGTCACCAAACGTGGACTATAGAGGCCATTGAGTCAACTCCAACTCATGGTGACCTAAAAGACAACAAAACTGTGATGTACTTCTGCATCAGCCTCACAGTCACAGACACGTTCAAGTCCATTGTTGCAGCTGTTGACCAATATATTTCACCAAGGCTCTCTGTCCTCTGCATTGGCCTTCCACATTACTAAATATGATGTCCCTCCTCTAGGGATTTAGCCTTCCTGATAACGTGTCCAAAGCAAGCTCGTCAGACAGTGTTCTATTGTAATTCATAAAGTTTTCATTGGCTAATTTTTAGAAGTAAATCACCAGGCCTTTGTGTGTGTCTTAGTCTGAAAGCACCCTGAAACCTGTCCACCATGGGTGACCCTGCTGATATTTGAGATAACAGTGGCATAGCTTCCAGCATCAAGCAACACCCAAGTCACCACAGTATGACAAGGTGGCAGACAAGTGGTGAAGTGGAATAAATAAAGACTGTTGAAAGCTTCAGGAGTTTAAAGAAGCTTTCCATTTTTAGAGCTTTTTGTATTTTAGAATTATGGAGAAAGAATTGTGGACCAATGAAGTTAAAGTGAAGACAGATCAGAAACTATTTAAAGGGAGATGGATAAGAATTGCATAAGGAATATGAAATGAGTTAGTTACTATAATTATATCCTCAAGTTCTTCTGAATTTCTGACAGCCAAAGCAAAAAAGAAAAATAAAGAAATATGATAGGTTACATAGTTCTTAGTGTTTCATCAAGGGAACCTTTTTCTGACACTAAAGTTTATGAGAGATGCGTCACCAGGATGCTTAAGAAAGAGATTAAATTACACAATGGACGGTCTTACTTCAGGCTTTCAGACAATAAGGAAACATTCTTTACGTGTCAGTTTCTTATCTGAATAGTCAATAAAAACGAGAAATGATACTGACATGGGTCCATGTTCTATAGATTTGGCCTGAATCCTGGTATTCAAACCCTTGAGGGCTTTGATCCTCAAAGTGTGGTCTGGCCCACCAATGAGGAGCAGCATCACCTGGGAGCTGGTTAGAAACATGGTCTCTGAGGATCTCTCCCAGATCTACAGGGTGGTAGACCTATTTTCCCAGGTAACCACGTTTCCCAGGCCACTTCTGTAGGAAACCAAACCTGCATGGTTCAAATACACTGCTTTCTAATGGTTTACATTCAAGAACAAAGTTTAGACCTCTTGATCAACTGAAGTGTACCCCATGACTAAGAATGAGGTCTTTCAAATATCAGTTGTCTACATGTACTAAATCATGTAAGATATCATTGGGGGAAGTTGGTTGAAGGGTACACAGGAACCATCTGTACTGTCTTTGCAACTTCTTGTGAGTCTAAGCTGTTCCAAAGTATTTTTTTTT